CATAAAAAAGTAGTAAATATTCGAAAAAAAAGACCAAAATGAAAACATGGATTTTCGCCCATACGATATTGTTGAATATCAGAACAGTGGAATATTGTTCAGCTAAAACTTTGAAACCGACACATGATATAGACTGAATGTATGTCTCTCCTTTGCTTGTTATAACATTGATTATTGTGGCTTAGTTACAAAACATATTCTCTGATATGTTTCACCAGTTACCAGTTAAGACTTGATACATCTCACATTGTAAGGTGTTTACAGAAGTTAATGGATATTTGAATTTTCTGATTTTCCTCTGTATTCTGTGAAAACACTATTTTAACTAGAATAATTGTGGAGCCGTGGAACAATGTTGCTGCTATTTTACAAGCAGGAAACCTTTTCTTTTAATGTATCAGAAAACATTATTATATATTTGACTACCATTTCATACATATTGCAAAATGTTGATAATATTGTGTCAGTCATGATTGGAAGGGTCTTGTCTGGGCGTCTGGGTCTGATCTGAGGGTGACTCTCCCAGTTTTCCTCTGATTTTGCCGTCACTGCTGTCTGAGCGGGCACATCTTTCCGCATCAACTATAAAAATAAAGTGAAGGTTTGAGGTTACAGAATTATATCAAAACTCTCACAAGAATAGCTCATACTTGACTGAGAACAGCTTTGGATATTAATTTTTCTCCCAAATCCTTCATACGATCCGCCGTGTGCCTAATAAGTTTGACGGCTGTGTTCTGTGCTGTAAAGTCCCGCTGTATTTTTAGCTTTTAAGTGGAAACCAGCCTTTCACAAAATTCACTCCCAACCCCATATGAAGAACATGCAAGAATAAATCTTTTTAAGAGTCTGTCGATGTGTTCTTTCCCCCAAAGTCAACAGACACCATGGGAAAGCTCCATACACCATCCAACATCATTTCTGTCCGATGACTTTTACGGCACTCCCTATTGAGAAAACCTCCGACAATAGGTTCATTACTCGAGCATGTGGGAACTGGTGAGCACTTTGACTCAAATTTAAGCAAAAATTATAGGACACTGTTATGTCCTATAGCATGCAAATTTTGAAATGTATTTTATAATTTTACTTAAAAAACGCTTTTTTTGCGTGATTTGTGATTTTTTTCCCCCCAGGAGAATTCTCTTACACTTTCTATTTTGAGATCTTGATATGACAATATTTTCATTGATTTTTCCTAGAATTCTTCTCAATTAGATAAATGATACTGGACTTCCCAATTTGAATTTGCAAATCATTTTTAAACAAGTCAAAATGGGCTTTACTGGGCGGCACAGTGGCTGAGTGGATAGTACTCTCGCTTCTCAGCAAGAAGGTTCTGGGTTTGAATCCCGATTGGAACAGGGCCTTTCTGAGTGGAGTTTGCATGTTCTCCCCGTGTTTGCGTAGGTTTTCTCCAGGTACTCCGGTTTCCCCTACCACTAAAAACATGTACAGTAGGTCTGGCATGTGCCTCCTGTACTGGCCCCGCTCCCATCTCTGTGTGGAGTGGGGAGTAACCGCTTTGACTCTGGTCTGTGAAAGGCGGTATATAGAAAAATATTTCTTACTTACTTACTTAGATTAGAAGAAATACTTGCTTTCTTCCTTTTTTTTGTCATTTTCACTGGTGTAGCCCAATGCTTTAATATTTAACAAGATGTGAAGTTTGCAAAGAAATGTCAAATAAATAATTGCAATTCTTTTGAGTGTGTCCAGTTAAATTAGCAATTCTGATTAGATTGTAATTTATCCGGTGGTTGTTAAAGACACGACATGGATGAGAGATGCGGATAGTATTTGGTGAGCGGTCTTAGCTGTTCAACTGTCCTCAGAACAAAATCTATGGGGAAAAAGCTAATAGCGTCATGATAAAAATGCTATCGACTTAAATAATTGCCTTCTTATCTGGAATAACTGAGACAAATGTAAGTCGCTCATTAAAAATACATACTGTAGGGACCTCTTGCGCGTTGCTTTGTTTGGATTCTGGAAATATAAGCTGTTAAATTATAGCACTAAAGACCTACATCTGCTAATTTTATGAGATTTTGGGTGTTTTCAACTATAGGCTGATATATAATTTAGGAAATTTGGAATGTGGGCTCTTTTCCCCATATTCAAACAGTGCCATTTACTTCATAAAAGGATCAAACACTTCTTTACCATATGTAATTTCCCATTGACGATGATGAAGATGTCTGGAGCTAATATAAGCAGTAGCTAAAACAAAACCAGACCTTATTTTGGACCCAAGCCCAGCTCCGAGCGGCCTGTTTGGTGTAGAGTTTAATATAACCATAAATGCCATACAGCACTCACAGGCACCGTATTATTGCTAAGTCTGCTAATTTTATGAGATCAATCCACTTTACCTTTACTGTGGCTTGCTAGTCTTGTTTAATTTGAGCTGACGCTGCAAATTTGGTTGGGATCTTGTTATCTGATTGGCTAACTGCTAACTGTCAGCCTCCATAACCCCAAGTGTTGTCCAATCAGGGTGGGCTGGTTTGTCTGTGTCAGCATGTGCCACTATCCTGCTACCCTGTATACACTCCTTGACATAGTATTTCTCCTTGTCCTCATTGGATGGGCAGGTACATATATATATGTGTGTGTGTAAGTGTGTGTGTCGTATTGCCGGTGTCATTGATGGATATGGGTCGAGGATCAGCATCGTGGTCATTCGCAGGAGTCGTGCTTTGTCCACCGCTGGGAACTCGCAGACTGGTTTTGCTGAACTCGCACTTCCCCGTGTTTCACTGGGGCTGCTGCTTGCCAGGAATTTTAAGCATGTGCAAAAGTGTAGCCCAAATTGTGAAATATATTTATGAGATGGTGTGGTGCTGGTTAGTTCAATGTAGTTTATATCTTTCTCCCCACCGGGCTACAACTACAGACTGACATGAGCATCTTCAGCAGAGAGCTCGAACATTAGTTAAGATCCAGACAGACTTGTTCTCACGTGTAAATCATATTGTTATTCTTTTAAATGAACAGACTATATTCTTTGCCTTTAACATGTTATACACTTCTGTCTGTTTGCACAATGCTGAGTGATATCTGTCCCAAATGTGACATCTGCATTTCTCCAGTGTGACATCTACAAAGTCTATTTTATCTTATCTTATCTTAAATGTATTTTAGCTTCTGCACTGTAAAACCCCTTGTGGACTAGTGTTGAAAAAAGTACCTGTGCTAAAACACTTACAGCAATGCATCTGGTTCGTCCAATGTTTCTGTTATGTGCTTATTAATTAAATAAATATATAAACATGATGAGGAAGTGTTTCTCGACTTGACTGGCCTCTGTTTTTGTGCTGGTTCTGTTTGTTAGAGAGTTCTTTGTGTGAAAACTGGGAGGATATTCCCTTGATTTTGAAAGACAATGGAGCTTTTTTTCCAAGGAGATCGCTTGGGCAATCAAACAATTTAGTCTGCCTCTGCAACCAATTACTTCCAAAATACGTCAAAGTCACTTTTGACAAAACAACTGCTTTCATATCAACAGTCGTACTGTGTTTGTTCCTGCCACTGACAGCCATCATTGTGGAAGGAAACACATTTATTGAATAAAGTAAATACTCAAAAGAAGAAGTAACAAGGCTTCAGATGAGATTGTGTCGTAAGTCCACAATGTGAAAGCTTTGCAATAATTCAGTTATAGTTTTTGTTTTTATTTTGAATATAAATGCATTGAAAAGGAGGCATTAATCAGTCAATCAATCAACGTTTGATTGTAGAGCGCCTTTCCTACACAAGGCAACACAAAGCGCCTCACAACCCACATCACATCCAGTAAATCATAAACATTAATATCTACATATGCATAAAAAACACAAGAAATATTAAAAACAGAACTAAATCACAAGTAATTAAAAACCTTAAAACATTAAAAACACACACGGGATTAAAATAATGAATAGCCACAATGCACTAAAAAGAGTACATATAAAATATAAAATCCTTCAGTTGTACGCACAGCTAAACAGAACTGTTTTAACCTGGATTTGAGAACTGCCAGAGTAGATGCCAGTCTCACATCTTCAGGAAGATTGTTCCAGATTTTAGCAGCATGAATCTGGAACGTTGCCTTCCCATGTTTAGTTCTGACTCTTTACTGTAATTTGACTAAACCGAGAGACAAAACTTGGGCTTCATTGCAAAAAGAAAACTGTAAGCATTACAAAAACACTTAGGTACCCAACTTTCAGTTTTTGAAAATAATTATGTTTTTAGGTCATCCCAAGAGAAAAGGTCTTAATGTTAAATTATGTAAACAAATCAGCTGTCTTCGTACTTGCATTTTTCACATTTAAGAAAGACCTGTGAGCACTATTTGACACTGATTGACTGAGTTCTTTCTTTTTCAACGTTCTGTCTGTAAAAGCAGAGAAGCCAAAAATATATCCATGTTAAAAGCAGTGAAATAAATATCGTTTTGAGAGCGACGAGTTGGATTGAATTCTACTTTTGTTGCAGCTTTCTTTCCAACCCAAGCCCCGTAATAAAACCATCACTTGTCTGACTTTTGAATAAGTTTTCCCTTTACGTTTCCTGATCACAACACTCTTGTTTTTGTCTCGTTTCATCTGGCTCTTCCCACACCAGTATCCACTTCAAACGGATACAGCGGTGTCACCTGGTGCGTGTGGATGGCAGCAGTTTAGGCGAGGAGGCGTTCAAAGACTTGCTGAGTGCAGATATAATAGCAGAAGATATTTAAAGAGAACAGCCCTTTTATCTGAAGGGACAGTCTGAATTATTCATGTGGAGCCTTCGGAGAGACAAAGACGCAGCAAAAAGAAAATACAGCAGAAGACGTTTCACTGAATTATTGTTTCTTGTCTTGAATTCTCCCCAAACACTATATTTAAGTGTGTGACCGTGCATTAAATTGTCCCCATTACTCACATCTTACTGTTTACTGTCTGAGATTTAGCTGTTGTTGTCGTTTTAATGCATTTTCATTTACAGTCTGCCTCTTCTCTCTTTTGCAGTGTGCAGAGTCGGCTTCTACAAGTCCTCATTGGGAAATATGGAGTGTTCCAAATGTCCACCTCATAGTTTCTCTCACCATGAGGGGGCGCTACACTGCGGCTGTGAGAAGAACTACTTCAGGGCGGATGGAGACCCGGCCTCCATGGCCTGCACTCGTGAGTAATATTGGGATAATAATAGACAATGATATATTGTTCATGTATATCAATAGACAATGTTCACACCAGAGCTCCTAAGCCCTCTGGGGAAGTGCTCATGGACAAACTTTTGCTCCTGTTTGCCGTGGCTCTTGTTGACTCATATTGAAAAGTAAACTCCTCTAGCTCAGTAGCCGTTTGTGTCACACTCACCACCCAAAAAAATCTTTGGTTCTTTATAATTCTGGGATTTTATTTGTATATTGTCATTAAATCCTGATATGGAGCATATAAGTATTGACCAATCAAATTCCTTCATTCACGGGTAAAGCCTTAGCAACCGTCTTAGCAACATGTTCCCATGATTCAGCGGGAAGCAAACATGAGTGACATCAGGACTCCATCAGTCCACTCCAAACACACGGTCTGTGGATGACACTCATTCGGTTTATAGAAATATCGCTGTCCGTAGTCTTGGAGCGCTAAGAAATAAGGCTGTATACATAAACAATTCAAAACTAACTTAACGATCAAAGAGCCTCCAAATGATTTTATATTCATAAATACTGTTTGGATAGCTGTACGTTCATAGATTTTCTTTTAGAATCACATAGTACTTAGTGGGCAGCTTGATAAAAATAGTATTATAGCTTCATTGTTCAGTTCAATGGACCAATTTGAAAAAGCCAATATAAGTGTATACTGCAAGGAAACATCCAACTAAATCAATAGTATCATACTGTAGATGTCACAATAAACTCTGGGATTGTATTCAGCTCCAAAGGCTCTGAGCAGTGATTTCCAATAGGCTTCATTACAGTTTCCTGGCATCGTCTTTGACCATATTTCTTCCTCACATTGACTCATGCGTTGTTGTCATTGAAATAACTTATCACTTGGAGTCAACTAATGACTCTCAAAATGTCTGAAATTAAAAGAACCCACACATTTTAATAATAACAATAATCATAAAAATGCTTGAGACTGGTCTGAAAAACTAGATGTTATTACACTTAAATGCAAATAAACAGGAACTTTTAGTTAAACGTTTATACATTTTTTTTTTCAAGAAGCTGTATTCTGCTTAAAAAAACATCCTATCTTCTCATGTCAATGTTGTGAGATTAAAAATGACTTCTAACAATGACTCACTCCTGGACAAAGGAGGGAACACATTGATTTGTCGCTGCATACCTCAAAAACCTTCAACCTTGAAAACGATGAGTCCCTTTGGAGTTTCTTCGCATTACACCCACAATGTTCCCAAGATTCCCCAGTTGCCTCACATCGATGTTGCATACAGAACACATAAAAACCCCAGGAAATCACTCAAATACAGTAGTGTCAAGTTCTTCTTTTGGGGAACCATTAAAACCGCCAACATTCCTGACAACCCAAAAACTATTTATTACCCTTTGCTCACCTTAGATGTGAGTTACAGATGCAAATTCTTCTCTAAGCCTATTATAATATCCACTAAAACTTCCAAATCGATGGGAGGTTCTGAAAAGAGTATTTTTCATGTTACTCTGATACTCCATCCATTTTCTTCCGCTTTATCCGTTGCCGGGTCGCGGGGGCAGCAGTCTAAGCAGAAACGCCCAGACTTCCCTATCCACACACAATTCCTCCAGCTCGTCCAGGGGTACCCCAAGGCGTTCCCAGGCCAGCTGAGAGACATAGTCCCTCCAGCGTGTCCTACAGTAGGTCTTCCCCGGGGCCTCCTCCCAGTGGCACGTGCCCGGAACACCTCCCCAGGGACTCTGATACTCTGTACGTAAATTAAGGTGTGTGGAAACCGCCTGGACTCGACCTGGTTTAGGAATTTATTTTACCATCAAACTCACTTTACAATTTGTGAAGTGCAGGCCGTGTCCATCTTTTAAAAAAAGATAAATGTAAATAAATGTTATCATAATAATAATAAAATGTTATCATAATAATAATAATAGTAATTAATAAGTCTGGGAAAAAATGCTGCTGACAAAGGCACGGTAATAGTCACCAGCAGTTACACAACCAGATGGCGGTTTTTGTTTTACCAGAGACACTGGTTCAAGGCCGTGTTTTTTGGGTCCCTTGAAAACAGCATCATACAGGACAATTAAAACAGACTGACAAAACCTTTCAAAAATACAGTTCGAATGAGTGAGTGAGTGTGCATGGGAGATGAGTATCTTGTATTTTTACAGTCCCTTATGCCGTATTGAGTCAGTTTCTGGAGGAGAAAGAAAACAGAAGAACATCCAAAATGTCCGCCCACCGCTATAGAGTGGACTCCTAATTAGAAAGTCTGTCACGGCGGGTTTGTGTGCCTTTGTTGTGATTATCTGCTGCATCTTGTCGGCTACGCAAATTGTGCTCATCAGGACAGATTGAGCGACATGAGGTTGTGGAGATAATGATGCCGATTAGGAGACAGACTGATAGCGGCGTGCACTTTAGAGGTTATTCAGACGTGACTTTAGCCAAACTTACCACGATTACAACCTGTGAGAGAGGTGCAATCAAGGAGCTCGAGACGGCAAAGGTTCAAGGAAACGGGAAATGCAATGTCAGAAAATATGTTGATGTCGCATGAATAATGAAAGATGTTTTGCCTTTTTCGTGCCTGACATTTTTGAATTGGATGTTTTTGAATCACGGCGAGATCAGAGGAAAGTTATCTGAATTAAAGTGTACCTCCACAATCAAGAAGATACGATATAAAACTATACAGATCCTTAACTATAATAAAACTAGAGGTGCAAACTTATTGGAAAAAAAAGTCTTGATACTGAAAATATTACTTTGAGCAATTCTTGGATGATTTTGATACATTTCAGAAATAGTTTTAAATATTGTGGAACCATAAAAAGGACAAGGGCAACAGTGGTTCAGTTGGTAGAGCATTGGCCGTTGAGCCTGAAGGTCGTGGGTTCGAGCCCACCATGAGACCTTCTCAACTGACTCCCACTGATGACTGCTGTCGTTGTGTCCTTGGGCAAGACACTTACCCCACTTTGCCTGAAGCCCCTGCTGAATAATCAAGGCTCCTGGGGACTCACCGCCTGCAGGAGGATCAGTGAGGGGCTGGTGCTCTGTGTACTGGGTGGCATCTCTGACTGCCATCCCCCCCTGACCCAGAAATGGATTAATGGGAAGAAAATGGATGGATGGTATAAAAAGGACATGAATGTTGTAATGTTTATCAATGCTTTAAATTACCTAATTAAAATTACAGAATTCTGATAAAATAAATGTTTAACTATCAAAATTGGAATTGTGTAGAGTAGTTTTATGTGTATGGAATAGTTTTATTAGTAACTACATCAGGGCTCTTGCATCTCAGCAAGCAGGTCCTGGATTCAAATCCCTGTCGGAATTTGCATGTTCTCCCCATGTCTGTGTAGGTTTCCTCAGTGTGCTCCAGTTTCTCCTACCACTAAAAACATTCACAGTAGGTCTGAATGTAGATGACAGAGTGAATGAATGGTGTTGATTGGAGGCTTTGATGCACCAGTGTGATTGGAACAAAATCTAAACTCTGAACCTTGTAAAGCGCTTTGGGTGACCTTGGTCTGTAAAAATATATAAATAAACTTTACTTTACTTACTATATCGAGCTATTGACCAAATTCGATAATAGTTTATTCATTTTGAGTATTATTTACGCAAGAAAGTATCACTGAGATTTATTGTTCAGGTGAGTCCCGCCCCCAGAAAAGATAAAACTATTCTCTGTTTTTAGTGGTCGGAGAAACCTGAAGGAAATCCACAAATGTACGGGTTATTTTTGTTAAATAGAAGTAAACATCCTGATTACGGCACAGATAATGAAAGCTGAATAAGTTTTGTGTCCCGGGACGACCTGTAAGGATTCTTGGGCCGAGGAGTGTTGGGTTTTTGTGACATGTGGTTTAGATTCAAAAACAGGATGTAATTTTCTGTTGAAGTTTGTGTTGAATGGAATTTTTTGAAAGAGACAACATAATGATACGAGCCCATAATGCAAGGTTTTGTGAATTGTTGAACGTGGACTATTATAGTGTTTAGGAGGCCACTGTTAGTGTCAGTGTCAGTGTCAATGGATTTCACCCTAACCCAGTTATCAGCCGACTGAATGGGGAGGCCAAATATCATAGCAATAATATGGTCAAGAGATTGAACATTGTATGAAGCTATGTGTGAAAAAAGTGTGAGTTATAACCTATATTCACAGCACAAACATATCTAAAGCTTTGAACTCATTTTCAATTCTTACAATAAGATTTGAGTTCTGCACACTTTACAGTTTGTATAAATTATAAAAAAGATGAACAAAGAATGGTTTTGGCCAACATCAAGTTCCATCAAAAAATCTTAAATTCCCAAATGCAAGTATATTTTGTTGTTGTTTTTTTGGTTTTCAAATAATTTAAATAGATACAGTTTCTTTTCTTTCTGTAGAAACGTCGAGAATTCACCGCAAACTCTTAGATTCTGCTTAACTTTTATTGCTGCACCATTGAACATTTGTTTGTTGGTTCTGTGACTGTGGTTCGGTGACATCACAGACAATAAAAGAGAGCTGTAAACAAGGTGCTGAGCTCTGAAAGAGGACTGTGAGCTGTGAGACCAGAGAGAGACCAGAGAGAGACCAGAGAAAGAGACCAGAGAGAGACCAGAGAAAGAGACCAGATAGAGACCAGACAGAGAGACCAGACAGAGAGACCAGACGGAGAGACCAGATAGAGAGGAGAGAAACCAGAGAGAGACCAGATAGAGAGGATAGAGACCAGACAGAGAGAGACCAGAGAGAGAGAGAAAGAGACCAGAGAGAGACCAGAGAGAGGACTGTGAGCTGCCTGTTCTGGAGGTTCTTTATAAATCCACACTTTTAAACCGAGCTCTTAGAATAATCTATGAATCTTCTGGGTCCTCTTCCAGAGGGAAGAAGCCATGTTCCAGCTTCTTCCCTCTGGCAGAAGATATCGTTTGTTGAGTTGCAGGACATCTCGTTTTGCTTACAGCGTCTTTCCACAAGCTGTTAGCTGGGGACGTTTGCAAATGTATTCAAATGGCAAATAAAATTAATCTGATTCGATAATAACCACAACTTTGCCGTGTTCTTTTGATTGTGATTAGTTTTGCAGCCACTACAGAAAAATTCAGGCATAACTATATTGTTTTACTCTTCTGGGAAAACATAACTCATCTTTTGGCATACTTAATTGGATTTTTTTCCCTTTGTAATAAACTTTTAAACAGATTGTTCTACACACAGCAGTGCCAGCTTGGTGAGACTTCACACGTGCACATTCGCTCCGGTGGCTTGGACCTGTTTCCACACGGCGCAGACACTAGACCAGCGCATAGCTCCGCAGTGAAGTCAGTCGTTGTCAAATAAAACAACATTTTATCCGCAGACATAGATTGCTCTCTTCCTCGCCCTGCTCATCTGAATTATCTGGCAGCGCTGTTGTGTCCACCGTGTAATTACAGCCGCCACTTTGATACAGAAATCTGGAAGCACTCAGGGATCTCTGTTTGGAATAAGGAACATCACTTTTGTAAGTCGGCTGGAGTCTGTCTTTATTGGTTCGAAAAGCCGATTCTGTGGCCCTGCATACTTTAAGAGAAAAAGGGTGGTAACGAATAGGAAAGAACGCTTATGTCACTGGTAAAATGTTTTCTATATGCTAAAATGGATCTCCAGTAGAGAATGGTTAATGCAAATGGGACAATTCTTGGTATCTATTGAAATCCATTATGACATTGTTTTTCCTGCCTGCAGAACAAAACAATCGTTCTTCCTCTTCTATCTTTTGTTCTTTTTAAGGGGAAATATTGACACTTCTTACTATAATACATTTGTGTCATCAATTTGTATATTTCTGCGTATTTCCCAGATTGTTGTTTATGGACAGAACTAACTAAGATCTATTAAGCCAAACAGTATCTCACTCATGGGCAAAGTTTTCCTCCATCTTCCTTTTGCTCCCATTCACTTACATTAAAAAGTGTACTATTTTTCTGTAACCGTATTTGTCACACTCGCCGTTTTGGGTCTGAAAAGTCTGTGATTCACTTAAATTTGCATAATGTCCCCTAACAACTGGCCGATCGGGGGTCTGCTTTTTTAAATCTGCCTCTATAATTATTGCCCATAGATTAGTTTTGGTAATTCTTCTGTCTTGCAGTCAGTCATTTTCAAATAACAATGAAAGATAAAATAAAATACTTATTCCTCTGATGGTAGCGTATAGCGTATAGGGACCCCTGACTGGGCCTTTGGTTGCTATGCTATTTCCATCCACACTTTAGGCTTCAGATTAGCACTTATCGGCTTCTTTTGGAATAAAAAAACCGCAATGGGTGACTTGGGTTAGTCCACTCCTTCTGCAGTCTCCCAACACCACTGATTAAAGTCCTCCCATCAATCCAATCTGTCCCTGGTGAACTTTTTGTTTATACTCTGTTTCTATTGTTCCAGGACCTCCATCTGCTCCTCGAAACGTCATCTCCTCCATCAACGAGACTTCGGTGATCCTGGACTGGAGCTGGCCGGAGGACACAGGTGGCCGTAAGGACCTGACCTTCACCGTCCTGTGTAAGCGCTGTCGTGGGGGCGGCGCTATCCCCCTGAGGTGTGAACCCTGCAGGAGCAACGTGCGCTTCCATCCCAGAGCCACCGGACTGTTCAACACCACGGTGACGGTGGGGGACCTTCTGGCTCACACCAACTACACCTTTGAGATCGAGGCGCAGAACGGAGTGTCCGTCATGGCTCCCAAGATGAGACAGTACGCAGCCGTCACCATCACCACCAACCAAGCAGGTAGTTTATGTATTGATTTTTTTGATAGGGACAAGTGTACACAATCAACATTGTAGACTAAAAACTACATTTATAGTCAAGGCTAATTTGCAAATTCCGTCCCAAAGAAGAAACGCCAATAGAGCCTTGAGAACTTCACAATTAGAGGGAAGAATTGTACTATAACAAATAATGTACCATCAGGATCATTCTTGCCTTTTGGTATATTATCTATGGTGTGTTGTTCACCCAAACACACCATATTCTGCCTCTCCAGGTCGTCTTTGCTGAGGCGTTGCTATGCTATCCTGCGTAGGAAAGGATTGCAAAGGTTCAAACAATGCGCAAACCTTTCCCACTGTTGTCCTGAGTCAACACAGCTCTTCAAAATGAATCCAAAATGAATGAATGCAGTGAAAACACCTAAAGTCAAAAGTTGTGTATACTTAGAGCACTTGGTTTTGTTAATAACTGGACCACAGTGATGTCAATGTGTGTAAACAAAATACAATCACCACCAACCAAGAAGGTATAGGTACAGTATGTTGTGTGGATAAGAATTGGTCCACAATAAATCTAACTCTACACTTTGTTGCTAAAAAGTTACAAATATCCATTGCTGTTGAAGGTTTTGTTGTATTGATTCAAGTAAAAGTGCAATTTCACTTAATGAAATAGTTTGGGAAGAGCGGTGCCAGTGGACGAACAGTCTCGGTGGTCTGCCTAAATCTCCACTATAATACTTTTTTTATATTTCATCTATCAAGAGACCGTTTGATGAACTAAAGCCAAAAAGATAAAAGTTTATTTCCAAAAGTTCTCAATTGCATCAAAGAGTTGAAAGGAAAATTGCTGGCTATAACCACTGAAAAGCTGTTTTTCATCAATGCCAAAATACATATCTGACTAAGCAATGTTTTGAAAATGGTTCCTGGACCAAATATGTGAATCCAAACGCCGATTGTGGCCGAGTTTGTTGAAACCAAGCACAATGAGATGCTTCTGTTGCAAATACTGGGTTTAAACTCATGTGTAATTTGAAGGCTATGATGTGGGCCAAAGTTCTCGTCTCTCATCCTGTCCCACAAAATATTCCTCATAGATAAGACGCAGTGAGCGATATATATATTTACAGTTCAGAAGATTAAGAAAAAAAACACTGTCATGCAATATTCAGGGGTTTTGGCGTATACTGTTTATTTATTGTAGCTTTTACTGTTTGCCATTCAAAGCACCCAATATTTATGAATGTATCTTTTGTTAAAACGATGGCTGACATCCTCAACAATACAATACAGTTAGAAATGCATACACTTATACATACATACAGTACATCCATTGCTATACCATATACACACACACACACACACACACACGTACACACCCACACAAACGCACATTTAAATTACGTATCGATTTTAACATTTTAGTTTTAACTTTCAGAGCCTTAAATGGTCAGGCTCTGTCTTACATCTCGGACCTCTTGACCCCATACTGTTCTGGCCGCACTCTTAGGTCCACAGGCCAGAATTTACTTGCGGTCCCAAAGACCCGCTAAAAGACCCGGGGGGGACCGGTCCTTCCAGTCCGTGGCCCCCAGACTGTAGAACGCTTTGCCTCTGTCCCTCCGTGTGGTCAACTCTGCCGATGCTTTTAAAAAGGGACCAAAGACACTTCTTTTTAGGGCAGCTTTTAGTTAATTCCTTGCTTTTATGTTATTTTCTATTTTTGTCTTATTTCTATTGTGTATACAACCCGTATCTGCTTTTACCTTGAACAAGCACTTCTATTAATTAAATTTACTTACTTACTTACTTACTTGCACATTCATACACACAAACACACTCATCGTTTGTCTTGCCGCTCACCTCCAAAACACACGTCTTTTTGCACACCCTGAGTGATCCTGATTCATGACAAAGCAACATATATTTTAACCTCCAAGTCCTGTTTCACCAACTATCTACAAATACATAACATTTGTGAATGGTTAGATATGTATATTTTCTTAAGCGCCAACTTAAAATTCCTTTACCTCCGAAGAACAGATCTCATAATCTGCATTTATCACAAAAACAACACATTTCTTCACATTTATTTTACGTTCATGTCACTGGTCCAAACATCAATAGTTTCCCCCAAGGGCGTAGGTTTGCGTGGGGACCATGGGGACATGTCCCCACCAATATTTGGTGAGGACTAAAAAGTCCCCACCAAAATGACATGATGTCCTGTGACCCGGACGGTCCGGGACACATGTCTTCCGTTTGTGCACACGTCGCGCCTCCTCCTCGCCTCCAGAGCAGCAGCAGCAGCAGCAGCACGTGACCCGTTCCGTTCTCTGCAGTGATTGGCTGTCTTCTTCAGCGCCAAACTGAAGCACTGAGCAACTGTTTAATTTTTAAAAGTTAGCCAGCGTGAAGCAAGTGTTTTTTTTCGTTCCCTGAGCGTTGTAGCACGTGAGTAATCAGAGGAAAGTACTGTGGATCTATTACCATTCAAAGTACTTACGTTATTTCTAATCTGTCAGCGCACTGTTTAATGTTCCGAGGAGCTCACACGGCACAGAGACAGAACAGAACTGGCTCCAATAAAGAAACAGGTTGGTTGAAAGGCTGAAAAAATACTTATTGTGCTCTTACTATCCAAAATGTATGAGTGGGTGTGTTGTGGGAATCAGGATAAACTAGGGATAAAAATATTCCACGGATCCACGATTTACAACCTTTATCTGCTGATAATGTAATTTCTGTGAAATGTGTGACAGCGGGCACTTGCTGTTATTTGCTCTAAGCACATTCAAGCGATGCACTCGAATGTGCACGTCCTGGTGCAGCTGCTGCCGCTTTGTAATGACAGCCGCGGCGCTCAGTGAAAGCACAGCTCTAACATGGTACCGAGCTCGGACCATATGCAGACAGAACCATGTTGCAAGTGCGGGTCTCCCTCGTACAGTATCTCCCGCGTTTCTCCCCTGTGTCTCTGACATGTCTCTCCCCTGACTCTTCCCAAAGCTACCAGCGCTCCCGAAATTAAAGCTTGGATACCTAAATTTTCCATTGCGTTAACGATGCATGCTGGTTGTGCGCAAAACACACCACAACAGGTCATTTAAGTTTTTATTTTGCATACTTGAGAGCCCTGTGAGTCATTACTTGCCTTTTTGGGTTGAGAGTGGAATAAAAAAAAGAAAATATAGAACAATCCACACTGTTACTTATTGCCAAACTCTTGTTAACTCATTGTATTGAGAAATACTATGTAACTTTTGACATTGGCCAAGTTATATAAATGATTCTGCAGTTCATGTATATGAATGTCTGTTTTTGATTTTCTATACCTTCTTATATAATTTAGAAAAAATGCCACCTCCACAAAAAAAGATAAAAGATATCAGGAGCTTTTTTAACAGTTGGAAAGTAAGTAAGAGAAAGCACAAGTAATAGCAAATTATGAATTGTGATGATTAATCTTCTGTTAACATACATAGGAAACTCAACAAACAAGAGAGAACAATATAGGGAATGTTGAGGTAGAAGCAACAGGCCCTTCAGTGCATCAGGTGAGGTTGGAATTTTGTAGGTATGCATGGGACTATGAATTGTTTTTAGAGATTGATCGTATATGTCAAACAATGTAGTGAGATACTCACTGTAGATTCTAATTCAATATTTTCTCCTCTGTTTTTATTTATTATAGGAAATTGAAAGATCAGAGCATGATTTATTTCAAGTATCGAGAGCAGTTCCTGAACTGTTAGAGCCTCAGGTGAGGGCTATTATGTAGATTTGGATTAGGTTTAAGTCAGTATAGAATGAACGCAACACAAAACTCAGAAGCTCTGATCCAATTGATTTTGTTTTAACTATTAGAAAAAATCCTTAACTGCTTCTCATTCAGTCTACAGCTGAGTTTAGTATAGAACGCAACACACTATTGCAAATATAGTGTGTGATTACACAACAAATTCTGGGGGAGAAACTCTGGACCCCGTGTCAATGGGTGTAGACTCAGGTCGTAGTGAATGTCCCCACCAAGATTGGAACCAAACCTACACCATTGGTTTCCCCTTGCTGCCCCACATTGTGTTTCACTTATGCTCAAAAGCTGCACATGTGATACATTATGAATCTGTAAAATCACATTTGATTTAGTTCGTTGTCAGCAGAGAGTTTCCAAAAGTTTGTCTATTGACTATTGTCTTGTTGGACATGTGGCCACAGAAGCCGTGTGTGAGTAATGGAGGCCACACCGGTCACCTCAAAGTCTAAACATGTGAGAGTCAGATGTCAGTCCAGTAAACAGACTCAGCCGTTATTTAAAGAGAAAAGAAAACACGATTACTTCAAACAGACACTTGGATTGTTCTTTTGTCGAGGAATGATTGCAAAATAACAGCAAACTGAGAATGTTTATATACATTTAGTGTTCTTTAAAGCCTAGCGCACATCGACAGAGTAACTGGAGACAACTAGTTTCAAGGCGGCTTTTGGCGACTGAGAGTAGATGATGGAGATGATCAGTTGCCGAAATCGGTCGATGTGAGCGCTCTTACAACTGGAGATGAACAGTCGATCTCCAGTTTCAGTCAGTTGCCCGTGTTCTACTTTTCGGCAACTAGTGTTCCTCAGATTCGGAGATATCACCCGATGTGCGCTCTCCAACAATATGTGTGTGTTGCATGTATTGCGCCCTCTACAGTTTATGCCAGAAAACACACTGTAGTTGAGGCCAGTTGCTGTTATTCCCCAGACTGGCCTGATACAGGAGTTGCCCGTTTTTGCCAGATTGTGGATGTGTGCGGGGCAGAAACTCATATGCGACGGATATCATCAGTTGCCAGTCCGATGTACGCTAGGCACAAAATGTCGACTCCCAGAAGAAACTACTAGAAATCCCAGAGCCGTCATTTTGACTGCTCCCATTCAATTTAGTTTGGTTCTTCTACCAGACAAACTAAACTAAACAAAATGCCTTCATTGGTCCCAAAATCATGGAAGTGTGTACGTTTATAATCCGTT